CTGTCCCAGCCAACGGTCAGCTAGAGATGGGAGAGGGGCTCATGGGACCTTGCCACTTACTGCTAAACTATGAGAAGTTAACAGATTCTGGGAGGGGGAGGCATAGTATCCAACTCATAGTATCCAACTGTCCAGGTATCACTGGACAGTTCCAAATCCATAGTCACACAGGTACAGTTAACCTCATGGAAGATAAAACAAAAGTCAGGAACGTGGGAAAGAAATTTGGGTGTAGGAAGGTAGGCAGTGATGGGAGGAAGGCAATGGAGGGGGACATATCAATACACAATTTTCAAAAACTGAAATTCATTAGTAAAATTTTTATTCAAAACATCATTTAAAATGAAAGAAATTGCAGATAAGATAACAAATTTAAAGGTGTAAGCATGTAGCAGTTCTTGCAACTTCTGATATGACACCATTTACTTTCTTAGTAGATGCTGAAATTAGGTTTAAGATTTTTACTTACTTGTAGTTTATGAAACTGAATTTTCTTTTAATGATGGAAACAACTATTTGACAATACCATGTCAGAAAGAAATGAGATCTTGGAAATGAATATGACTTACTCTAAATCAAATCTGAGAAAAATTCGAAGATTTACTTGGAAAAAAAATAGTCCTTTTTTTTAAAAAAAAAAAAATCTACTTTGGACACCACTTCAGTGAGCCTTTATTAGGCAAGTGACTTTTGCTGCTAACACACATGACTGTAGCTCAAGACGACCTCCGCACAGTGTTTAAAATAGCAAGTCAGAATGAACAGAGCACGAAGAACCTGAGCCAGACATGTGCCAAAGGAGTCATGCTATAAATAGAAGAAAAGAGAATGGAGGGGAAAGGTTGAAGACACAGCCAAAATGCTTTTATTCAGTCCAGACCAACTCCCAGGGCACAGTGAGAAAACGAATTCTTTCTTTCATCACTTGGAAGTACTCAGTTTATGTATTTAAATGTCTCTGTGTGATGGATACATGTGCACGGAGTTCAGAATGTGGGGAAACTGACTTGCTCTAAGGTGATGGATCAAGTGCTTGTCCTCATGACTGAGGAGCGAGCAGTTTTACCCCCTGGGCCATCTCTCCAGACTGCTGCTTTTTACATCACTTTATTTAAGGCCACATGGCTGGTTCCTGTTGGTTTCTAGTTCTATAAAGTTGAATTCCCTCCTGGTAACAGGGATGGGTCTCCTGAAACATGAGCTGCTAACATGTCTGCCTTCTTTTTTTCTTGAATTTTTATTTATTTTTATTTTATGTGCATTGGAGTTTTGCCTTCATGTATGTCTGTATGAGTGTCAAGTCTCCTGGAACTGGAGTTACAGACAGTTGTGAGCTGCCATGTGGATGCTGGGAATTGAACCCTGGTCCTCTGGAAGAGCAGTCAGTGCTCTTAACCACTGAGCCATCTCTCCAGCCCCCACACTGCCTTCTTATGTTCCCCTGAAAGGGAAACAACAGCATTGTGGACCCTCCACTTCCCAGGACAAAAGTGTTCCTTCAAGTCCCTGTCCAAATGAGTTATCCCTTCTACGTTCAGATAGGAGAGTGGAGTGTCCCATGCCAGGGTAACCACTCTGCGGCTCAGACAAACTCGTGTTTGGTACTGAATTTGGTGATTTCCCTCTGCCGACAAGGGGTTGACTCACCGTTGAGAGCTATGCAAAGCCTCCAAATGTTTATTTCTCTCTGTTGTCTCTCATAAAAGGGGAAGTAGACTTTGGCAAGGCTGCCCCAGTCCTTATGAGTTTTCAGCGACTCTCCCTGGCTGTCTGCCCTGTGCTAAGCAGAGAATGTGTGCTGAACAGCTGCCAGAGAACCTGCACACCATAGTAGCCCTCACGGTCCCAGATGATCCCCACACTGCCTTCCTTGCAGCAGGGAGGAAATTTCCAGAAGCTCCCAGCCACAATTGCCCATCTACAACCTAGTTTGATTTAGTTAATATTTAATCTGGTGTGAGGGCTAACGTTATATTTTAAGTTTTAATTACAAGGCTTAAGAAATCTTAGAAAACAAAAATGCCTCTAACCTGTAAGACCCACTTACTCAAGGGCAGATAACTTTCTAGCATGCTGAGAGCTGTTTGTTATTCATGTAAGATAACAAGTCACATGTTTTCACATCTGTAAATAAGATTGGTTACCCAACCACACCGGATGTGCTTGGTCACATGTAGGCAGGAAGTATGTAAGGATGTGTATTTGTCCCCGGTTGAATGAAAGAGGGAAGTGTGTAGCCTTGTGGGGTTTGCCTTTATAAGCAATGGACTAATGTAATATTTGGCCCTTCTCTGGGAATCTCAGGTATGGATATGGCCAGTGTCCATCATCCTGGCCACTATTTAATAACATTTCCTTCAAATTTGGCTCAAAAAGTTGATCCTATTCTGATCTGGTGGGATTAACACTGGCTTAATTGTTTTATAGTCCCAAATGTTATTACAGGGGAGATATTTACATTCTGTAAATATTCAACAAAATCTGTAATGGGCATTTTGTATTTTCAAACCTAAAATTAGGTCCCACTGTGAAGGCAGGGAGTGAGAGGAATCCTACAAATTACATATTCCTTGCTCTAAGGCTATGTTTAATGTAGAAGAAAGTTTCTGTCTTGCTTGGTCCTGCAGCAGTTTAGTCCCAAATAAACAGAGGCTTATATTAATTATAGACTCTTTGGAAGATCAGGCTTCTTAGTGGTTAATTATTAACCCATTTCTCTTAATCTGTGTATCTCCAAGTAGTCTTGGCTTACTGAGATGCCTGGGCCTCTTGCTTCCTTGGCAGTTACATGGTGTCTTCCTGACTTCACCTACTACCTTTCTTTATTCCTGTTTGGATTTCCCACCTGGGAAACTTATTCACAGCATACAAAAGGACATCCCCCATCATCTCCTCTTTTCCATCTAAATAAAAAGGGAGGTTTTAACTTTAACACTGGTGTGGGTAGCTTCAGGGCCTGTCCCTTCAGAACAATAATTTTGCTTAGGACATGAGAAGAAATGACTCTAAGAATCCATACCTATCTAGAAAGTTCTGCAGAAATTTGGCTAATCAATGGTGCAAGACATTTGGGAGAATACAGCTTCACCTAGTATGTCACTTGCCCTTGAATCTCCGTGGAGAAAGAGTCCACGAAAAGGTGTCATGTTTGACATTTACATGGAGTTAGGCAAGGCATACCTACGTTCAGACTGTTAGTCCCAAGGCCCCATACTACTCCAGGATGGACTGTAGCTTGACCATGATTTTGCTCAAACAGTGGGTAAATGCATCATCATTCCTCAGTCCTTCATTTGCATTTATGACTGATAATTTTGAAAATGATAGTCTAGTTATTTTTTTTATGTTTTCCTTGACTTGGGTGCCTCTAGTGTGCTCTCAAGATTGGTATAGGCATTACATCTTGGTAGGAGTAACAGGGAGGCATGTGCATCCTTCCCACTGTGGCCCATGCCTCCATTTGTTCCTTAATGAGGGTGTTCACTCCTGGCATTTGATTAATGTGCATTGGTTATCTAGCACTACTGTAACAAGATACCAGGAACAAATTTCTCATAGTTCTATAGACCAGAAATCTGAGGTAAGAAATTTGAACATGGCTGCTTTTTTTTTTTTCCAGACAGGGTTTCTCTGTGTAGCTTTAGAGCCTATCCTGGCACTCACTCTGGAGACCGGGCTGGCCTGGCCTGGAACTCACAGAGATCCGCCTGTTTCTGCCCCAATGCTAGGATTAAAGGTGTGTGCCACCAACGCCCGGCATGGCTGCCTTCTTATTCACGTGGTTTTTCCTCTGGTCTGCGTGTTCTGTGTGTCATCTTTGTGTGTCATACTGGGTTGAGAATCTTCCTATAGGACCACATTTACCCAGTGACTCCCTCAGAGTCCCTGTCTCAATAGTAGCACTCCATTAACTAGCACAAATCAAATGACAGCCTTATGGCTTCTCCTAAGCTCTCTACGAAAGACATGCTCTGTGTCCAAACACAATAACTTTTCTGAGAACTGGAACATGGAATGGATTTAGTAATTCAAGCCTTACTGAATACCGAATGTAAAAAAAAAAAAAAAAAAAAAAAAAAAAAAAAAAAAAAAAAAATCCAGGAACATCTCTTTCTGAGAAAAAAGAAATAACAAGTAAATCAAACAAAGGGTCACTTTAGCACAGCTGTATGTGCTGATGCTACGTCACAATCATCCTGGTCCGGATTTAGGGAGAGACAAAACTGAAGCAACAATAGACAGGGAACAGAAGACACTGGCCATGAGGGACACCCCTGCCACTGGCCACAAGGGACACCCCTGGGCAGTGTCCTTGGATCTAATCATCTAAAGGGGTACTGATAACTGGTGCCAGGCCTGCCTAGCTAGTCAATCACATTTAATTGCCTGAGTTCACCTGCAAAATACCCCCAGCCTTTGGCTTTGTTTAAGGTGGGATTCAAGGGCCAGATTCCAAATAGCTAGGCCACACACCAAGGTGAAAAAGAGAGTGGTGTTTGATGTTCTGTTCTGGCTTAGTCAGGGTTACTATTGCTGAGATGAAATTCCATGACCAAAAGCAACATGGGGAGGAAAGGGTTCACTTCACTCACAGTTCTGTATAATAGTTCATTATCAAAAGTAGTAAGGGTACAAACCTGGAGGTAGGAGCTGATACAAAGGCCATGGAGAGTGATGCTCACTGGCTCACTCTTCATGGCTTGCTCAGTCTGCTTTCTAATAGAACCCAGGATCACAGCCCAGGAATGGCACCACCCCCCTGGGCTGGGCCCTCCCCCACTGATCACTAATTAAGAAAACACCCCACAGGCTTGCCTACAACACAACTTTATATGGAGACATTTTCTCAATTTAGTCTACCTCCTGTCTGATGACTCTAGCTTGTGCCCAGTTGACATAAAACTAGCTAGCACATGTCCAATAAAAATTTGTCATGGAAGCAAAAGCAACACTTGTTTGTAACAGGAGAAGGGGAGAAACAGAGGAAGAGTAATGCAACACTCATTTAAAAATATAAAATTTATTCATAGTAAGACAGTTCACTTTCTGTACAGGGTTACTCTTGAGCTAACAACCTCAAGAGCTTACATCGGAAATACATAGCTATCAAATATTGCTCATGCCATTGGACTCAGAGAATGCTTGTTTCTCCTTTAAACATGTTAAGGCTCAGTTTCCAAAAGGTAATCGTACCACTTAGGTTTCTGCTTAAAAGGCTGGGAAAGTTTGGGACTAAACCACTACAGTGAGGTTGGTGGGGGGACAGGAGGCAAGCTCCATATACACTCATTGTTTTTCTAAAGACTTCTTCCCTTTGAAAAACATGTTTTGTTACAAAAAAAGACAAAGGAGATCTTTAGTATTCAAACAAGAAAAGCTAACCATGCGTTTCTCACTGTGGCTGGATGAAATGTGTTGTGGGAACAAATGCAGCTCTTTTAGTTTCTTAAATGAATCTAACCAACCAGTCTCTCTTCAGATCAAGTGACCACAGAGTTGTCCTTTCCCCTAAAAACAATCCTCATTTTTCTCTCAACCGTATAGCAGAATGTAACCATGATTGTGTCCTTAATGGGAATGCACTGTGGAGTCACCCCACAGCTAGGTGTGCTGGCACAAGCCTGTAATCCACCTGGGAAGTGGAGCCAAGATAGTCAAGAGTTCCCGGCCACTTGGCTACGTAGTGAGTTTGAAGCCAGCCTGGGCTATATAAATAAGACCCTGTCTCAAAAAAATAAAAAATAATAATAATAAAAGAGATTAAAGGGAGAGGGAAATCAAACTGCAGAGTTTGGAGTTGTTTTGAGAAATGCCTTATTAACAAGTTCCAAACACATCGTAGAAGCACTTTACATACAAATATTCCATTCAATCATCAATGATACATCATTTTACAAAAGGCAGAATCTGTTTCCACTCAAGAATCGGTCTTACCATTCACTGAGTCCACACTATAACAAAAATGTCAGAAAGGGGCACCTGTAGGTCCTGCCTCTGGCATGAAGAGGTAGAGACAATCATCCAGTAGAAAAGATTAACGATAAATAAGCAAAAGACAGTACAACAAAACACGTTATAAAACTTCACTTCTAAAGGCCAGTTCTGGGAAGCCATGTTCATCCTCAGCACATCAGTCCAGTTCCAGGTTGGGAGATCCATTGCCCACAATCATCTTGCTGTAATTCTTCTGTTGTTCTTCCTTAAAGGTGTCCTTCACCTTTGCTCTCTTCAGCCCTCCGTCCCTGCGGACAGAAAGGTACACATGGGAAAGGTACTCCGCCAGTAAAGAAATGGGCCATGTGAAAACGCATGCCTCATGGTGCCCGGATGCTTAATAGAAACAGGAAGAGCAGGTTCTGGTTTCTGCTCTACAAATGACCAAGCATGTGTCCCTTTGGGCAAAGAACATGCTCTCTGAGCTTGGCAAAAATGGAGAGTAGCCAGGCAGTGATGGAGCATGCCTTTAATCCCAGAGGCAGGCGGATCTCTGTGAGTTCAAGGCCAGCCTGGTCTACAAATCGAGTTCCAGGACAGGCTCCAAAGCTACAGAGAAACTCTGTTTCGAAAACCAAACAAACAAAAAAATGGAGAGTAATACTGCCTGCATTCCACTTCTCCCTTGAAGAGGCAAGCGTTTTCTGGTGCTGGGAATTGAACCCAGGGCTTTGGGTATGCTACCCAAGTGCTCTTCCACTGAGCTACATCCCTCGCTTCTATTCTGTTTTGTTTCAGAAATTAGATTTACTGTATTCAATATTTAAACAGAAACAAGGATTATTAAGATGTTTCTTTAGATTCCCCCCTTGGAAAACAAACGTTTTTTTGTTTTTTGTTTTTTGGTTTTCCATTAACTGTGGCTTGCTGAGAAACCCCGTGAAAAGTTGTTAACACACACATAAAAAATGATGAGAGTGCTGCCCACGCATGGGTTATAAACAGGCAAATTTCTTAAAAATAAATTATTTGATAGTTATTCAAATCTAACCTTATGACTAACAACTTTATTTTTATACAAAACATATTCACACTTTTATACTCCAAAACAGATTCAAGATAAACAACAAAATTGTAAGGTGCATTTGACAGAAGCTAGTGTGATACAAAACAGCTTTCCTGCACTTGGAGCCTTGAATCTTTGAACTCTCTGCAGGGCTGTGAACCACAAGACCTTTCTGGGTTATAAGGGCTCCAAGTGTCTTTTCCTTCTTTGGACACAAGGAACAGCAAAACTAGGAGAGGTGGAAGGAAACCAGACTACCATAATTATTCCTCCCCCATTATAATATGCTAGGTTTTAACTCCTGGAGGGAGGGGGTTAAGAACTTGCTTGCTTTCTATTGGGACTGTTGAACTTTAGCCCAGTTAGTCAAGTTCTAACAGTGCCGAATGATCATGTGTTACTCAGATGCCACAGGGACAGAACTTGACCTTCATACAGACACGTGCCTGAAACCAGAGCAATGTTCAGGTTCACGGAGTCAAGCCCAAAGCACAGCCTTCAACTTGAAAATGGACCACAGCTCACAGAGTTTTACAGGGGATCGGGAATGGGAAGTTCCCATAAAACAAAACTACAGGTTGCGGTCTGGTACACTAAAACTCTTTTCTCCAAATGAGCCACCTGTAATTATTTGTAGGACTTAAATGGATTTTGAGTAGTAAAAAATAAAGAAAAAGGAGAGAGAAGAAAGGCCTTTCTCTTTTTCTAAGGCCCAAACCAAAATGGACAACAATACAAACGCTGGTGATGATCTTAATGCCTGCTCTTAAGCCTCCTGGCATCACCTTTGGATGGTTCCTCTTCTTAGCCACCCAGTGAACCACCCCAGCTATGATCTCTCGCCTCTAGAGGCTTCAAGTTCTATCAAACTCCCCACTTCAGTAACAGCAGATCTTAGTTCTTTCAGGAAGGTGTAGCCACTAACAGCCAGCTTAAGATCATACAGCAAAAAGCCAGGCATGATGGCACATGTCTTTAATTCTAGCACTCGGGAGGCAGAAGCAAGTGGATCCAAGTTTGAGGCCACTTTGGCCTCCTAGTTTGAGGCCAGAGTGAATTCTAGAATAGGTTTTGAGAAACCCTGTCTCAAAAAACAAAAACAAAAAAATTAAATATATCCAGATAGGCAGGAAGGCTCGTTTCCTTCCAGAAAAACAGGCCAGGTAGTTAAAAGTAATCTCATTTATAAAATGGCACGTGATCCAGTAATAGGAAATAGGAAAGTTCAGAGGATTTGCTTTGTTTTGTTTTTGTGAAACAAGGTCTTACGCTGTAGCTCAGGCTGGCCTGAAATTCACTATTCAGTCCAGGTAGTCCAGGAACTCATGGGAATCCTCCTGCCTCTGTCTCTCAATACTAGGATTAGAGGTGAAGATCACTGTTAACAGAGATGCCAAGTGAATCTGACAGTGAGTGGCTGACAGCCTGTGTGCTCTTTCTTTCCCTGGGTCAGAGACCACAGATCTAGCCACAACTTTTCCTAATAGCTTCAGACAGGGCTAGCGTGTTGGGTAAGAGGAAGTTTTGGAAAAAGAAGTTTTAAGAAGAGGAAAAAGAGGAAGTCAGCTATATGCATATGAAGTTGAAGAATCACTGAGACACCTTTAGCCTCAGGGAGGCCTGGAGTTTTGTGATGTTACAGTGTTTGCCAGTTTAGCAATTCCAGATTAGATTGCATAATGTAAAATTGTTCATCTTAGCCTGTGGCTTAGAACAAATCAGTTGCTGTCACTGACGAATTCATACCCCAAGGGAGTCGCCTGGCATCTACTTTCATCTCCCATCAATTTCCAAAGATGGTTAATTAGCATAGTAATGTCTAAAATGACTTTTTTTTGCTATAAAAATTAGCATCAAAAAAGCACAGTGTTTGCCAGAAATAGGATGGGGTGGTATAAATTAGCTGGTTTCAAGATAGGTGAGTGGGCAAATATATTTTAGTGATATGTCCTACTATTGGATAAAAGAATATAACATGCTAGCCAGCCCATCTTTGAAGACGTAACCCCTAAATAACCCTGATCCCCCATGCTGCAGATATTCTTGGCTGCTATTAACACAGAAATCAAATCCTTGAACATCACTGCAATTGCCTCAACTTAGCACATCATATAAAGTGTCTTGAAACATCCAGAGAGGTCATAGAGACTTTACTGGACTTGCTGGACTTGAAATACAGACTCTCTGGTGACACTCGCTCATACGAGGACTGACCTCCTACTCCAAGGTGGGCATAGTTAACCCTTACTGCTCACTCCTTTAATCTAAATATTTCTATCCTCACAAACGTATAAATTGAAGCTAAACTCCCCATGTGACAATATTTGACAATGAGGACTTTAGAGCATTATTAGGGTTGGACAAGGTTGAAAGGGTGGGGCCCTAATAGTGAGGTTAGTGCCCTTCTAACAAGAGACACTGGAGAGCTTGCTCTCTCCATGCTGGCACAGAGGAAAGGTCATGAGCCATGGAGAAAGCTGCCTTCTGGAACACAGGGAAGAACCCTCACCAGAAACTGACCATGAAGCATACTAAGCTCAAACCTCTAGCCTTCAGAACTTAGAGAAAACAAATTCTGTGAAGACATCACTGTGTGGTATTGTGTTACGGCAGCCCAAGCTGACAAACACATGCACCTACATTAAATCTTCCTCAGACAAAAAAAAGAAAGAAAGAAAAAGTGAAAGCTATAGTTATGCATTGCCAAAATATTTTACTTACTTCTTTCTTCCAGTTCTTCAGTTTTCTAATACAGTGAGAATGAAACACAAACAGCCCTACCCCAAAATCCAAGCCTCCCTCTCCCTTCTTCATCAGTAAAAGAACCTCATTTTCCAACATCCGGAGCAAATACTACATTATCCAGTTTCCTTTGCAGCTAACTGCTACCCCAAGACTTGCAGCAAATGATACAAGTTTGTTACTTGTGCCATTTCCCCTGTGTTTGCCTATAGAAATGGGTGTGTCATTTTCAAGGCCCCCCAGTCAGCCATAAGCTGTGCACACTGGGTGAACGTGAAACCACTATCTTGGGCCATAAGGTAGAAGCACCTGCTGGGCAGTGGTGGTGCACACCTTAATCCCAGCACTCAGGAGGCAGAGGCAGGAGGATCTCTGTGAGTTTTGAGGCCAGCCTGGTCTCCAGAGTGAGTGCCAGGACAGCCAAGGCTACACAGAGAAACCCTGTCTCAAAAAACCAAAAAGATAGAAGCACCTATTGAGGTTGGTATAGGAAAAAGGGCAAAGCTGTTATGCCAGCCTGGACTCCCATGCTTACGTGGGAGAGAAAAGCTTCTATTTTATTTAAGACTTTGTTGCATAGTTTCTGCCAAATCTATAGCTAACCAGTGCAATTTTGTTAAATATATATATTTCTACAAAAGAAGACAATTGCTTCTAAGAGGATTCTTACCAAGGAAGTTCAGTCAGTCCCCCTTGTACAGCAATAGCAGATTTAACCCTGTTTGCAAACTGAACGGCATCTTCTCCTTCCTGATTAAATGAAAAAGTTACACATCTTAAGTATGAAGTTTTTAAAGACCTTAAAATGTCTCATAATCATTCTTATTTGTTTTTATATAACTAAATACATCACCAAGAAACAACCTGTTGCCCGGCATTGGTGGCGCACGCCTTTAATCCCAGCACTCAGGAGGCAGAGGCAGGCGGATCTCTGTGAGTTCGAGACCAGCCTGATCTACAGAGCGAGTGCCAGGATAGGCTCCAAAGCTACACAGAGAAACTTTGTCTCGAAAAACCAAAAAAAAAAAAAAGAAAGAAAGAAAGAAACAAACAAACAAACAAACAAACAAACAAACAACCTGTTCACTAAGAACAAAACAAAGCATGATGGGAGTAATGAAAATACCTAAAGCTTTAGGCAAAAGTTTTCTTGCTTTTATCTGATTAAATAAGCATCAAAGACTGGAAAGTATCTAGGTGATACCTCTCTGGTCATGGGAGGCATGTACCACACGTCGCAGACAATGGCCCAGCTGGTCATTATTCGAAGCAAGTAGCTCACCATGCCGTATTTGCTACTGTTCCAGAATGCATCACCAAACTGGGGGTTATACTGAGAAGAAAAAAAGAAGAAAGATATTTCAACCATGAATTCCATGCTGGCTTCTCTCATCACAGGTGGAAAGATAAATGAGTCTTTCGGACCCCAGGAGAATTTACTTCACTTGATAGACTTCACAAGAACTAAGCCAATCCCACTAACGCTTTCCATCAGTGCCAACTGCTCTGTTAAATAGAGCCCAGAGTACTGCACTACGAAAGCTGTTTGCGTATCTCCCAGATATGTGACACTTAGGAAGTCAGTGAAAGCAGAGGTCAATCAGATTTGCTCTCCACAATATCCTTAGTATTAGTATTAATACACCCTCTGCTGCATCGCCATGCTGTCTGTCCGTCTGTCCAGCCATCAATGCATATCTGTCTACCTATCTCTATATCTAACTATCTACCCACTATCTGTGCATCAAATGTCATCTACCAGCTGTCTGTGCATGTATGTATCATCTGTCTACCAATTGTTGATTATCTATCTAGAGAGAATGAGCACAAAATGTACCCAAAGAAACTGAATACACAAGTGTTCTCTAGTCTCACACATTTTAAATTTGCAACTATATCAAATAAAGTTAACAATCCAATGCCCCCCACCCCTCTGCACCTTTAAAACTCTATTTTACCTTTATTGCCACTGGATATATGGTCCCTCCGATTTCAAAGCTTCCCTTTTTAAACATCATGACTGAAGTATTGTTGATGCAGGTACCTGACAGAGGATGTGAGGAAGTAAGCCTCTTTTTAAAAACAAATTTTAAAATGAATTGCTCTAAAGATTATTACATTTTTTATGTGCATGTATACATTTGGAGGTCAGAGGACAACATGAGAGAATCATGCCTCTCTTCCACCTGTGGGTCCCAGAAATTGAACTCAGCCCATCAGGCTTATAGGCAAGCTCCCCTACCTACTAAGCCATTTCACTGGCCCCAAATTACTTTTCTATAATCCTAATCATCATCCAAGCAGCAGATACTTTAGCGCTACTTCGCAAGTCAACCCTTGCTTCAAAAAACAATTTAAAAGTTTTGAGCAATTTTAACAGCAAACTTTCTCATCGCCACTGAACACTCAGCAACAACCCCATCACAGCAATTGACTATTTCAATACATTTCAAGAATAACACATACAAAGTCATAGACTGTGCTGTTTAATACCACTATGGAAAAATTACTTTAAAAATCAAATAGCCACCGGTGGTGGTGGCACACACCTTTAATCGCAGTGCTCAGGAGGCAGAGGCAGGTATTCAAGACTACTCTTGTCTACAAAGAAAGCTCCAAGGCTTTCTTTTCTCTGTAGCTACACAGAGAAACCCTGTTTTGAAACAAACAAACAAAAAAAAAGTATCCATCCCTTCTTCTAAGACAGCTCTAAAGTGCCAAACCTAGAGTGTTCCTCAGATGGTTTGCTGCCATCAGCTATAGCCTGAGGCAGCCTCTGCTCCTACCTTCAGGGAAGATTAATATGGGCAACTTTTTCTTATCAGCCACGTGTTCTCTCAATCTGTAAGAAAAAAATATAGGATCTGTGAGTTGATCTTGAAGACAAAGAGATAAGAGTCCTTGTTCTTCACATCCTGCCAGCAGGAAGAAAAAGTCATAAGGGCAGAAATAAGTGACAAAAGAAAAGGAGACAAAGGGTCGGGGATAAGGAAATCGGCACTCTTTCGTTTTCTCTGAAGTGAGTGAGTTTTGGTAACTTCATCCTACTTTGTTTGTTACAGGGTCTCATTAGCTTAGGCTGGCCTTGAACTCATTACATAACCAAGAATGATCTTAAGCTCCTGACCTCCTGATTCTACTTCCCAAGTCCTGGGACTACAGGTATGCATTAGCTGGTCCAGCGGCTGTCTATGCTTAAAAGGGATTTCTAGATAGCCATGTGCCATTAGCACTCCGCCCTTCTCCATGTGCTGATATTCCTTGTGTGAAAAAAATTGGGAATTCTGAGCATGCTTGTCTGTCTGCATTATAGCCAATAAGTAAGAAACCCCTCAAATGAGTCTGGATGAACTTTCCTATGAAATCAAACAACGTAAGCCAGGTATGGTAATCCAGCACTCAGGAGAATGAGACAGGAGGCTAGCACAAGTAAGTCTAGCCTGGGCAGCTTTCTTCCTGGTGGCTTCATCTCCACAGAGACCTGCCCTCCATTCTCATAAAGATCTGCTGTAGTTTAGGTGTACTCTACAGCCATGTGTTCATGGTTTAGCTGCCGCATGTGACACTACTGAGGGGTGACAGAGCCTTTAGGAGGTGGGATTAGAAGAAAGATGTTACTCACTGGGTGCTCGCTCTTGGCAGGAAGATTCAGGAGCCCAAGCACAAGAGCCAAGGGACCAGGCACTGACTCTACTCCGAAACCAGGTAACTAAATAAACCCTTTCCCTGTTAAGTTGATCTCCCTGTTAAGTTTTGTGACAGTGGCAGAAAGGAAGAGCAGTGATTATCAGCTCTCTGGTAACTAGATTTGAGTGGCAGAGGCCATTCAGCAAAAACAATCATTTATTCAGCAAATAACTGATCTATATTTAACCCTCAAGGTGGTAATTTTAAGCTTTTAAAAGTTCAGTGACCGTACTGAAGTCACAGCAAAACAGACACCTGAGCTTTCTGGTCTGGTTATGTGCAGCCATGTATGCCCCTGACTATAGAATTATTACATGAGTCCTGTTAATGACTCCAGAAAAAAAGAGCTTTGCGGGACTTTGTTTTCGTGTGTGTGTGTGTGTGTGTGTGTGTGTGTGTGTGTGTGGCCCTTTGGACAAAAGACCCAAGTCAATCAGCTCCTCTGTTACTGCAAATGAAGGCAAAGGACTGCACTGATTACCTCTTAGTCACCAGGTGTCGGTCCTTCATTTCTGAGCGCTCAAACCAGACGTGTGGACAAGCCTTAACCATGGCTCTCTGAATGATTCCCATCAGTCCACCATGAACCTGTCCAACCTAGAAGCACCAGGAGAAACAGAAAAACATAAAGGTACAGCCACCCAAAAACCCTGTCTTTCCTAGAGAGGGAATCCTATTCTTCACTCAGAGAAAATACTGGCTGTCTTTTACCAACAATTTGGACAATTTGAATTAAATTCCAAATCTAGTCAAAGGATTTGCAAAGCTCAATGCAAGCCAAAATGTGCTCTTCCGCAGTGCCCTGGACGTTAAAGCCACTTTGCTCCACAGAGATCCTCAACTTCATCAAGATTATGGAAATGCAAGTTAAAGATGCACTGAACTATGATTTCAAATGCACCCGAATGGCAAGGATATTGCGCTTGGATACTACACTCCCATGCAAGGCTTTGGGGAAAAGAGTGGGGACATTTAACAGCTGTCAAGATGACATATTCAATTAGCCTCCATTTCAATAATTTCTCTTTTAGAAATCCTCCCTGAAACCGGCAAGATGAAACTACATACTCGAAAGATTATTAGCTATAGTATTGCTTATTACTGCAAAATATTGAAAAAATATCTAAACATGTAAATGGATAACAAATAGTGTCAATGATGTGGTGAGTGGTGGGGGGTGTGAGTGTGTCTAAGTGTGTCTGCGTGAGTGCATGTGATCATTAAACTGATTGTGAGTGTGAAATTGTAAATGTGTGTGAAAGTGAGTGTGTGCGGGCATGAGTGTGTGCATGTGAGTGTGTGTGTGTGTGTGTGTGTGTGTGTGTGTGTGTGAGTGAGTGTGCATGCACATGCATACATACAGCAGAATACTATGCAGCTGAACAAAGAACAAGGCTGACCTCGAGGACACATAAGGAGTGATGGTTTTCAGACAATGGAGTTAAATTACAAAAGGCAAAAGAACAGATAAGCATGTTGTCTTTGGGGTGAGATGAGAAATGAAATGATACATTTGCACTTTTTAATCCTTCAAGAAGAAATAGGAAAGGATAATGAAGCAACAGTGAATCTACAAAGAGACCAGAAATATTCTGAGGTCTTCAGTTTCTAAAGTATTATAATCAATTCTTTGTTGGCCAGAGCACAGAAGAAACAGGGTGTGGCCTCAGAAACACAAAGTCATAATTAAACAGTTGCTATGGTTTGAGCACATTCCCCTGGAATTCATGTACTGGAAACTGAGTCCCTCAGGCAACGGTGCTGGAGAAATGACCTAATGTGACGGGTCTGAATCACAACACCTCTGCTCAAATGAACAGATTAGAGCTCTGGCTGATGCTGGAGAGATGGCTCAGCAGTTAAGAGACTTGCTGCTCTTGCAGCGGACCTGGGTTCAATTCCCAACATTCACATGGCAAGTTCACACCTGTCGAGTTACAGAGAATCCACTGTCTATTCTGGTCTCCTAGTGTTGCATGCACATGATAGAGAGACATTCATACAGGCAAGACATTCACACACATACAATGAAAATAAATATCTTCACAAAGTGGGGCACTCTAGGGAACAGACCTCTTTTTGTAATTCTAGGCCTTCCTTCTAACATGCGAAGGCAGGATAATCAGATCCTCACTAGACATCCTTACTTTATACTCTTCAGCCTGCACTGTAGTCAACAACTTTTGCTCCTCACAAATTACCCTGTCTGCAGTACTCTGTAAGGTCAGCACAAGGTGGTCTAAAGATGGGCAGATCAGCTGCCTAAGCCTCTGCCACCCCAGCTATGATGAAATCCTGGCCTGATCTAACTGCATCAAAGAGAAAATCAAATACAGTGGGTGGAGTATGCTGTCCACATACAGAAAAGGCTGATACGGTATGTCCAGGTGTGTTCTGGGGCTCTCCTGAGGGTTGCCTTGGGTGGGCTTTAGGGAGGATGCCTAAATACTGAAATTATATAGAAAATTGTGTCTGTATGATATTTGTATGTTTTTTCCAGTTTCTTTTTATTTTTCAATGTATATAACTATCAATTGATTACTAATCTGCCAAAAGATAAACGACCAATTTCTATTTCTTTTCTCGAAGATGACAAAAGAATCTTTAGGTTCAAAAAAGCTCACTTAAATTAATGATGTATTAAACAGTCGTTGTCTAAGAGTTATTTGTTCTGAAGACTTTATTTCACTTATTTATTTACTTTGGTAGGGAAATGGGTCTGTGCTTCAGGGTCTCACTGTGTAGCCCTGACTAGCCTGGGACTTGCTATCTAGTCCAGGCTGGCCTCGAACTCACAGCTCTCCTCCTGCCTCTTCCTCCTGAGTGCTAGGATTATAGGAATATGCCACCATGTCCAGGTTTTACATTTATTTTAGACTTTTTGTTTCTTTTCTGGCAGTTCTGGGGATAGTTCCCAGGTCTTCACACTGCTAGGCAAGTAGTCTATGACTGGGCCACATCTGAAGTCACTGAACTTACAATTTTAGACAAAGCAAACACTCAGCACTAAGTGGGAATTTTTACATAGGCCTTGTCAATCATACAGCCCACGGATAGTGAAAACCAGTGTGCATGCTGGCACTCCCCACTCACTTACCCACAGCACACACTTAAGTTGTAAGGGTTCCCCTCAAAGACTTTCCCAGAAATGCACACTAGATCACCAATATCTGTCTGGAAAACTGACCAGTGAACCTCTTGCCTTCACAGCATCACCCCCCCCCCATCCACAACCCACACCACAACTGTGAGAAGAGGAGAGCAACCCCGGACACACGTCTGGTCATCCTGTGCCCCACACCTTCTTAGGACACATTTAATCATCAAGCAGAAGAGGAGCCTGGGTCAGCATCTGGGGTTCACCCAGCAGAAGAAATGTCAGACAGACTGTTAGAGCCACAGATGATGGCGGGGGGGGGGGGGGGGGGCAGACAGACACCACAACCCAGAGTGGGGTTCCTCTTCATGCCCAAGAAAGGGCACTGGGGACTTGGTTTTGCTGTGGACCTCATGGTTACTGGATTTTCTGCTCTTTTCCTTTCTTTTCTTTGGAGGCTGTGGACAAAACCTGAGAACTGGGCTGAGGCACAAGTATTTTGCCTTCCTTGCCAGATCCTCCTTAAAGAAACAATTTTTTTTTAATTGTACTTATACCCCTGAGAAGAAAACTAATTGTCTGGCTGGAATCTGTAAAACTCCAAAGAGGTTGCCTTTAGTTTTGTACAGTATAATTAAACACCAGATGGCCATTAAAAGCAACATGAAATCAACTTTACAAAGTTCTGTCAAGGTATTTTCCCACCTTAGCTATTACAGCTACTTTCTCAAACTGTTTGTTTCTTAAACTGTTTGTTCCTCGTGTAAATATACTACGTAGCTTATACCGCTATGTCCCGGCCAAATTTCTAATAACAAACTTTCTAGTTTGCAATTCGGCAAGTACACATACTTGAAGTATCAATGAGCTGCTCTTACCATGGCATAACATCCATCCGTTGTCAAGATTAAGACATCGATGGGGGAGGTATGATTGGCAACACAAATGCCTCCCTTCTGGGGTCTGTACTGCCTGCAATTAAAACAGCTGTCAGTACCACACCTCAGAAAAGGCTCAACATTTTACACAGCAACATGTACAAACTTATCTTATTTAGGATTTTTTAAAAAGTTTTTAGGTACATAGGCCTATCTTTAAAACATTATCCTCATGTAGTATGATGAGTTGTGGGAAGGACCATGACATTCTCTTTATAATTCATATTTTGCTTATTTAATCACAACTATTCTGATTTATGTTGATTGCTCTAAGTATTATAGGCTGTTATGTTGTTGAGACAGGGTCTCTTGTAGCCCAGGCTGGCCTCAAACAGGTTGTGTAGCTGAGACTGGCTTTGAACATATGGTTCTCTTGCTTCAGCCTCCTAGATGCAATGATTACTGTGTGGGCCACCACATTGAACCAATTGACACTTGCTCAAACCAAATGATAACATGTTTCTTCCTATAAATGGGACAGGAAGACTCAATTAGGATGCAAAGAGCTTGTTCTAGAATGTGTATAATGATGGTGTTGCCAGGCAGGGTGACTTGTATCTGCAATCTCAGCACTTAGAAGACCAAGGCAAGAGGATCACCACAAGGTGGAAGCTAGCTTGTGCTACTTAATGAGCTCCAAGATAGCCAGGGCTACATAGCAAGGTCTTGCTTCAAAAAGAATGATAATAAGAATTTTTAAAAAAAAATATAGCATTCAATTATAAGAAAAGTAATCCAAAAGCAATCACAATCATTTTAATTTAGTTCATGATTTTCTCCAGTTATTTGTATTATCCTATTGTGGATGAAGAGAACAGAATGAAATATCTAATCTTAGGAACCAGGTAGAGAATTTTAGAAATGGGAAGACTAAGTGTAGAAAACAGGCCTCAACCTCAGCTGCACCCCAGGACTGCCAGCAGCAGTATCTTCAAAACAAACAGGCCCAGCTCAGAATCTGACTTTGAACTTTCACCATCCTTAGCAACCAGACCCAAAGTTCCCACCATTCATCCCATGGGATAGCAGTGCTCATTCCCCAGGAGTAACCTATGAGAAGTTCACCCCCTCCGCACACCATAAATGTCCATCAATGAACACTGCTCACTGTTAATTTTTGTATTCCTTCTGAAAACACAGGCAATGATGAAACCAGAAGTTCCCAGATCCCACTGGCTGCCTCCCCGACCTCCTTCTAGTTCTCGTCACCCCTACCCCACTCCCTTCCTGCTGGAATTGTCTGAAGCCATGGATGTAGTGAGATTTACCACCTGGTTCCACAACCACCTCACCCCAAAGGAACACTCAGAGACTTATACTAATTATAATATTGTTGGTCGATGACTAGGGCTTCTTATTGGCTAGCTCTATCTTAATTATTAACCCATTTCTATCAATCTATGTATTGCCACAAGGCTGTGGCTTACCAGTAATGCTCAGCATGGTGTTACTGCTCCGGCAGCATCACAACTCTGGCAGGCTCCTGCCTACCTTTCCCAGAATGCTCCTTATCTCCTAGCCTCACCTATCTTCCTGCCTGGCCAATCAGTGTTTTACTCCGCAACCAATAAGAGAAACATATACAGAATAACATTTCCCATCACATGGCGGACACTCACTTGTTATGATAATGAATGGTGCCAGAGAGGGACCGGACACAGATCCTGCAGCAGGTAAGATGGACCAGTTCACTCAGCCAGTTCTTGATTCTGAAAGAAAAAGAACCAGTTTTTGGCCGGGCTTTGGTGGCACATGCCTTTAATCCCAGCACTCAGGAGGTAGAGGCAGGCGGATCTCTGTGAGTTTGAGGCCAGCCTGGTCTCCAGAGCGAGTGCCAGGATAGGCTCCAAAGCTACACAGAGAAACCCTGTCTTGAAAAACCAAAAAAAAAAAAAAAAAAAAAAAAAAAAAGAACCAGTTTTATGGTTTTGTCCTGGATACCCACTCCTATGACACACAGTAAAAGCTCCCATGGGCTGTGTTCTGCTACACCAAATAACGATTCTTGCTGTCTCATCGATGCATTTGCTATTAAAGGCCCAATGTGTACCAGGAGAATCAGATAAAATTCTAGTCGGAAGTCGCCCCCACCCTGCTAGATCATAATAAAGTCCTAAAGGACCAGCTGAAATTTCTTTGGTCTAGACCTCCCCAGGCCACCAGTGTCAAAGACTACTTTTCCTTTGGGTCCTTCAGTCTACTTTCTTTTTTCCTTTCATTTCTTTGAAAAGGCTACTTTCAATTTGAAAGGGGGGAGGGACCAAATGAAGACTATGAAGATGAATTCAGTAAGGATTCTTGCAAGTGGCTTGAGACCATAAAATTCATGCAAAACCTACAAACTCGCCAGAATTCTAACTCTGTGAGTCCAGCTAAGGGAAGACGACAGTCCTATAGAAGGCTGGATGGAATGAGACATGTCACCTGCTGTCTGGAAGCTGTCCCACCAGTGTAGTTCCTATAATCAGCAAACTGATCCCAATAAAAGCCAGAGTAACCCTGAAAAAGAAAAGAAGGCTACTGCAAACATTTGCCAGACAGTGGGAATACACCTAAAGAATTCACCACTGCAAACATAGCCTGACAGTGGGAATACACCTAAAGAATTCACCACTGCAAACACCCTGACAGTGGGAATACACCTAAAGAATTCACTACTGCAAACACAGCCTGACAGTGGAAATACACCTGAAGAATTCGCCACTGCAAACATTAGCCTGACAGTAGGAATACACCTGAAGAATTCGCCACTGCAAACATTAGCCTGACAGTGGGAATACACCTGAAGAATTCATTCACTGCCTCCTAAACAGCAAAACTGTAACTTTGTAGAGCATTATGGAGCATGGTGCAGCAAGGAAAAGATTGTTCTACCATACATTTTGAGAGGAAGAGAAAAAGGTGGTGGGCTCTGATAAATAGTGGGGACACATGCTGGTAACCTCAGCACTTGGGAGGTAAAGGTAGGAGAATCAGTGGATCAAGACCATTCTAGATCACACAGAAAGATCGGGGCCATCCTGGGCTTCATGAGACCCTGTCTCTAAAAGTATCAAAGGAAGCTTTGATTTTTTACACAATTAAAAGCTCTAGTATTTCTGGGTAGTGGTGGCACACACCTTTAATCCCAGCTCTTAGGAGGCAGAAATGGGTGGATCTCAGTGAATTCAAGGCCAGCCTGGTCTACAAAGCAAGAGTTCCAGGACAGCCAGGACTGTTACACAGAGAAACTCTGTTTTTACAAAAAAAAAAATTCCCCCAAAAAAACTCTATTTCCTTCCCAAATGTCAAGATAGTCCTGTGTACTACCAGAATACTTGAACCCCACTTTGGAAGCACTGGATTAAGTTTCCAGCAATAGTATATATGTAATTCTGAATTTCACCATTTATCACAGCTACAACAATTCCCAAAAGTCAGCCTAAGCCACAGCATAAGACAAAAAGGAACACACACACACACACACACACACAGAGAGAGAGCGAGAGAGAGAGAGAGAGAGAGAGAGAGAGAGAGAGAGAATTTTAATGCACATCTTCAATTGGAAGAAAAACTGTAAAATGAGTGCACAGGTAACACAGGGCTGCAGGTCATATCTGGCCATGTTTCCTAACTGGGAAGAGGTTGAATCCATGCCACATACTCTTAAGCATCCATGCACACATAAGGAAGAGGAAAGAGGGACTGACGACATTATCAAACTAGGCAGGTGGCTTACCTCAGCGGCAGCAGAAAGCAATAACGTATTAGAACACCCAGCACCCACACCATAGTGAGCTTTGGACTGATGTACTGAAAGTTGACATTGGTTCTTGTGAGAAGGTTCCATGATACCAGCTCCTCAGAGGAGAACCTCTGGGTCACTTCATCCTCCACAATGGCTTCCAATCCCTTCTTGGAGAAATAAAACACATCAGAGAGCTCGAAGACCCTTCCTCGAAGACCAGAGAGCCCTTTTTCCATGGGTGACTCATCTCTTTGGATAATACCTTAAAAGAAAGCATCAGGACATGAGAAAATGCTATAGAAGCAAAGAGTAATTGACTGAAGGGGCACACAGAATGCCAAAAATGGGCTTAGTGGGCAATATGAGCACAAGAGCAAAGATCAAGGTGAAGATGATGGAGCAGTGATCGTGGTGGGAAGAGGTGGACCACAGCGTCTCCACAGAGCGACCTACACCCAGTGACTTCATAAAAATAACTTAATAAGAGGGGCTGGGATAAAAGGTGTGCACCGCCACCACCCAGCAAGAAATGCCCAAGAAGTTCTGAATGAATGCATAAGGAGGGGATGAAGACCCGAGTGAGTGTTTAAGGAGCAGATGAAGTCCTGAGTGAATGTGTTTTGCTGGCATGGGCACAGCCATGTCAATGACACCAATGCCTCACCCACAGACACTGGCAAAGCCTTCCCGGAGTGAGGCTCAGAAGATGGCAAAGCTGTCCTCTAACCCAGTGGTTCTCAACCCGTGGGTCACAACCCATTTGGGAGGCCATTTATCAGATAATCTGCATATCAGATATTTATATTATCATTCTAAATAGCCAGAAAATTACAGTTTCAAAGTAGCAATGGAATAATGTTGTGGTTAGGAGGTCACCACAGCATGAGGAACTGTATTAAAGGGTTTCAACATTAGGAAGGTTGGGAACCACTGCTCTAATCCAAGCGATTGAACAATGTGTGTGAACTGGCAACCACAGCTTCCTCCCAGATAACTAGTACCTAAGACTGCTGGCTAATAGACACTTCCTACCAAAACTAGCTAACCCCTTCCTGTATTGTACAGGATGGATGCCTTGAGATTCTGCGTTGTTGGTGCCAAGAAGGTTTTCCCTATCAGAGCAAGCACAGAGAGCTTTCTGTACATTTGTCTGTGTGTCTGTCCTTTCTTCCTGCCCCCACAGTCCCAAGCATGTCAAGTCCCGGCTGTCTGGGTTCAGGGAGAGAAAGGAAAATTGACTTGAAACTGAAAGTCAGGTTGTGTTTAGGATAGTCACCAGCTCCATGGTGGGTGGGTGTCTTTTATATAATGAAGAAGTTGGACATTTTTAGTTTCCTTACAGGACTAACACTTTGGGGTCTCAGAGAGAGAGAATATGTATGTGGTTTTGCCTAATTGTTTTATCTAATAACTCAATTATAACAATAAATGAGGTTAATCAAAATAATCAGAGCAATAAAGCAAGCTCTTGAATGCTTATTGGATTGTCTTTTTTTTTAAGTTAGGTCAAATCTTTCTTGCTTTTAATTAGTGCCAGTGGATGATCCAAGATTGTGTCCCTGCCAAGTTACCCTCTTACTCCACAGGCTCTGAAATGCCACTAAGGCAGAGTACTCTATCCAAGTACTTAGCAATGCAACAGTTTCATTATTTAGCAATCTATATATTTCTTAAACAAATCTAAAGGGGAAGAAAACAAAGCTAGTCAGTAAATCCCTGAATAAAATACACCAGGGATAGTAGATATACCTCCTAAAAATATCCTTTCTCAGAAAGGCCAGAGATGAGAAAATGCAACTCTGAGTTGATTATGTAACTGAGCTAAGGGAGAAGAGCCCTACCTACACAGCAGCTTGCCAGCCCCACCCACTTGATATGCTGTATTTTCCCTGCCCCGGACCTAGTCTGCTCCCTGAAACTCCAATAAAATGTAATGCAGTTCTGTATCATCCAAAAGTGTGTGGACCGCTGCAAGGCCATGGGATCGACAAAGATCTTAGTATCTCTAGCATATACTAAGCCATACAAAAAGTCAGCAGGAAAGTGAACTTCAAAGCTCAGTAAGAAAGGCTAAGAACATGGCAAGAGTAAGCCTGTTATGACTCAATACTCTGAAAGATGTTCAGCCTTACTATCCCCCAAGAGACATATGCCGTGCCACAATACAGTCATACCGAGTGCTCTGAAAGTGGGAACCAACAGAGTTATAATTAGTAAAATTGTACTGGAAAGCAATCGGCACTGTGGAGAAGAATCAAACATTCATAGAGTGTGACTCAGGAATTCTACCCGGGGAGCTTATCTAAAATACCAAATGCATAGGAAGGCTACAAGGATGTGTCATCCCACCCAGGTTCACTAATTGCCTTCATTCTGCCACATTTACTTTGTTATTCTATCTCTGTGTGTAAAAAATAAGTTCTTTTCTGGCCCACTTAGAAGAAATTGTGCACATTATGTTCTTTATCTCTCGACAGACATTTCCTCTGAATGGTTAACCAGAACAAAAGCATCGAAATCAAAGAGGTTGGCACTAATGCAATGCTGCTGTCTAACCTATCTCATTCAGCTGTCTCATCTACCTCACTCAGTTTTTTTTCACAACTCTCCCAATAATATCCTTTAAAGAAACTTGTTTCCCCAATCCAATGTTCATTTTAGCTGCCTTAAATATACCAAGCTTCCTACATCTCAAGATATTGTTTTATGGGTTGGAGAGATGGCTCAGAGGTTAAGAGCACCGACCACTCTTCCAGAGGTCCTGAGTTCAGTTCCCAGCAACCACATGGTGGCTCACAACCATCCGTTATGAGATCTGGTGCCCTCTTCTGGTGTGCAGATATACTTGGAAGCAGAATGCTGTATACATAATAAGTAAATAAAATCTTTTAAAAAAAGACATTGTTTTATTGGTTAAACAGGGTGCTGAGCATAAATATGATAAAACCACAACAGGAAAATAAAAATATCTGATATCAATAGACACACAATATCTGAAGATGAATTCTACTATCAACTAGGTGCTATGAGGAGGCACTACTCAAAATGTGTCTCTTTTTTCCTGAGATACAGTAACTACTGCAGGTCAAACTTACGTACCCAATTTGTCAAATAACTAACTTCTGACAGAAAAAAAAAAAAGATGCAATCAATATACAGTGAAAACTATGAGCCAGGCATCAAATTGGAGGTTAGAAAAAAATGGAAATATTTCTTTGGGCATTAAAAGGAGAAGGAGGCCAAAATTTACCACACACACATATCAAATTAATAAAAGCACAATTCTACACTACCATTAAGAAGAGCAGGAGTTGGTGGAGAGATGGCTAAGTGGCTAAGAACACTGGTTACTCTACCAGAGAACTCAGCTTTCATTCCCACAGGCATCATACAAACACCTATATATAACTCCAGTTCCAGGGGATCTGACACACTCTTCTGGCCTCCAAGGGCACAAGGTATATATACATGGTACACAGACATACACACAGGTAAAACACCCATACTCGTAAAACAATAATTTTTAAAGAAGGTCTAGTTATTTGTAACAGGTTACTCCTGATCTTTCAGACCCCATGCTTCTTAAAATGACAAACACTGATTCTAAGGAATTTTTCCTTTGATTTTACAACTCAGTTTAAGAAAATAAGAAAATAAAAGTTCAAATGAATATTTGAACTATGTCCTTATAAAAAATGCTCAGGCTGGGCCAACCCAGACCATGCTTGAGAAGAAGAAAAATTAGAGCTAACTCTCGGTCTAATGCAAGAGATTAATTGCACAAGCAGCCCTGTGGTCCTCTGCTTTTAGCAAGCCACTGGTACATAAATAACACATGTGAAAGGCCTGTAGAAATGGAGGCAGAAGTTAAAGCCATCTCAACCATAATTAACTCTAAATTAGCTGAGTGGACTTTTGGAATAACTGCCCAGTTATAAATCACACTAGTGTTCTGTCCTCCTGTTATAAAGGGAACTTTCTAAGCCACCGACTAGGAAAAGCAGACCCAAAGAGGACATGGCAATTATACACTTAAGTAGAACCTTAACCTCCAACATTCCAAAGGTCAGAAGTCCATTATTCCAAACACACTCTCTCATTGAGACCTTGACTGAGCAAGAAGCCAACTCCGTCATCATCCTCTATCAAGAAAATAGGTGGGTCTGAGGGCATAGATCAGTCAGCAAACTGCTTGCCTAGCATTCAAAAAGCTATGGATGGGTTCGATCCTCAGCATCACATAAAAGTGGAAATGGGGGATAGAGAGGTGGCTGTCTCTCCACAGGACCCAGATTGACACCTAGCACCCACTTGGTGGCTCATGTAGTTCCAGTCTTGGGGATCAGTGGTTACCAGGCATAAATGGTACACCAACATGCATCCAGGTAAAACATGAATACACATAGAGTTATTGTAACTAAAAATAATTTTTTAAGGAGCGGAAGTGACTACACACACCTGTAATCCAGTGACTCAGAAGGTGGAGGCCAGAGAAGTTCAACAGCATTCTTAACTTTAGAGTGAGGAAAACCTGGGTTACCTGACACCCTGTCTCAAAAACATTTTAAAAAGTAGGCAATCAGCCAGGTGGTGGTGTTGCACACCTTTAATCACAGCATTCAGGAGGCAGAGGCACTCGGATCTCTGTGAGGTCTACAAAGCAAGTTCCAGGAAAGCCATTGCTGTTGCACAGAGAAACCCTATCTCAAAAAAAAACAATAATAAAATAATAGTAATAATAATAATAATAATAATAATAATAATAATAATAATAATAATAATAATAATAATAATAATAATAATAATAATAATAATAATAATAATAATAATAATAATAATAATAATAATAATAATAATAATAATAATAATAATAATAATAATAATAATAATAGGCAATCACCTTTCCTAACATTGTTTATGGAAATATCTAAAATAAATCTGGTATGGATTTGACAAGTATATACTCTCCAGGGACGGGTGGGACTGAGAACATTTGGAATTGGTAAAGTTCCATTTCTTGATCTAGACCAGTGTTTTCTCAATTTGTGGGTCTCAACCCCTGAATGACGCTTTAATGGGGGTCACCTAAGACCATCAGAAAACAGATATTTACATTACCATTCATAACAGTAGCAAAATACACTTATGAAGTAGCAACAAAAAGTATTTCATAGTTGGTGGTCACCACAGCATGAGGAACTATATAGAAGGGTCTCAGCATTAGGAAGATATATAGAACTGATGCCTATGACTTTTATGCCA